ATTATTGGTGGATCAAATTGGAACGAGGAGGAGGAGGAGAAGGAGAAGGAAGAGAAGGGAGAGATTAAAAATTTCCATTTGAAAAGGGAGAGAAAGGGATGTGGGATAAGAAAGGGGTTTATAGGGGACGTGGAGCAAAGTTTTGGTTTTCGGTCTTCTTTCTTTTTAATAATTGAAATTAAGGATAATTTACAAAAATACTCATTAACTTAATTCTCAATCTATTTTTAAAATATTCATATCTTTTTAAGTTCGAAACTATTTTTGATGTTTCATAAACGTTTCAAAAAAATATTTATTTTGAACGACAATTTGACGTAGTAAAATTTGGAACAATGTGACAATTAGTATAAAAATTTACTTATATTAGGATTAGAAAAATGGATTAGAAAAATATGGAAGAAGCTATCGTTTTTTAAATAGGGTTATGAAGCAAAATTTGGTAAATAATAGAGAAGCAAATTATCTTGAAAATAGAGGAAGAAGATATTTAGGGATAAATTGAGATGTTAATTCTCATATCATTTCAGATTCTATCATATCAACTTTACCTCCAAAATATTAACGAATGCTCAAAAATGTTTTTAAAGTTTATGAAATATTAAGAGTAGTATTGAATTTTTTGAAAGGATAGTTGTATTTTTTAAACCTGGGCCAAAGTTCTTAGAGTGTTGTTTGTAATTTAGTCAAAAATTGAAAAGGAAAAATACTTAGGTCTTGATTGGTAAAGACTTATTTCTATGCCACAACTATTTTTTTTTTTCAAGTTGTCAAATATTTGAAGATGGTTAATGCAAGATAGGTTCTTACCGGTCAAAACCAAGGTTTTAAATATCGATATCGATGAAAATATTATGTCTCAATTTCATGTCGATAAAATGTTTATCTCGATGGATATTTATGTAAAAGTTAGAAAAATTAAAAAATCGTAAAACATATTTAAATTAACAAATAAATATTTTCTTATTTCTAAATTAGTTAAAAATAATTAATATTAATATATATATTAAATTCATTTTGTTGATATTTTTTATATTTTGTCGATTTTTTTGTACCATGATAGAAATGTAGATTCTTCCTTTATGTCGATGTCGAATCTATGGAAACATGGATATGTTGATGAAAATGTCGACGGATACGTAGAATCATGGTCAAAACTAAAGAATTTTTTTTTAATTAAAATAAAAATAAAATTGATGGTGTGATTTTGTTTTGAAGGGGGTGGAGAATACGAAGGGGGGCGATGTAAGCCATGCAGAATTTTCTAAAGCTTTGTTAGGGTTTGCGGAGACCGGCGGATTAAGCAATGTGGAGAGAGAGAAAGGGTTTGAAATTGAATTAAATTTTGCAATAATTATCTGATCCTTCCAATTAATTAATGTGTTGCTTTCTATTACCTGCAACTCAACACATTATTATTCTTTTAATACTAACTAAAAAGCCTACGTTGTATTTTCATAAAAAGGACTGAAATTTTATTTTATACCTTTCGCCACGTTAGTACGTAACTAATGTTTTTTCTTTTTAAATACTTTTGGGCATGTAAACTTCTATATATTTATTCTGCTCCTTAAAACTTTTAAAATAATCATTTCAGTCATGATCATTATTATTATTTATTCAAATTATTTAACATAAATAAATAACGTAATTCACCCACTAGTTCAATGTTAATTGGCATCTGTCTCTGATTTAGAGGTTATCAATTTAGACCTCTCTATTCTCAATTGATATTCTAAAAAATGATGTCCTGTGTATGCATTAATTTATTGACGTGACCATAAATTTAAGCCACAAAAACTAACTGTCGGGGGAGTTCTAATGTATCCTTGTCATCTTTATAAAGCAATAAGGTATTGTGTGGGGTGAAATTAAAATTGATGTAGAATAACAATAAATGTTTCCAAAAAAATGATTATTCTTTTTCAAGGGTGAAAACAAAATTTTAAAAGTTTTTTTTCTACCATACAGGAGATTCAAACTCACATATTTTTTTTTTCGCCTTAACTCGTTAATAAACCATTTGAAAAATTTTATCCATTAAAATAAAATAAATCTGAAAATTCAGAGGTGAAAATGGCACCGAAAATACGTTTCAAAATTACTCTTCTAGAAATTAAACTTTCTTTTTCTTTTTTGCAGTAAGAAATTGGTCGTTTATCACGTCGGAGGAACTCGATTATTGCTGTTGCTGGTCCGGATTGTTTTGAAAGTAGCTCAATTTAGTGGGCCTTATAGTCCACGTTACCCCTTTAATGGGCCGCTTCTGTACGAAATTAATTGAGCCCATTGGATCCGGAGAGATATATTGATCTTAATTTTGAAAAGTAGTTATAAATTGCTAAATTAGCTAAAGAAATCTGATAATCTCGTTTACTGAAAAAGACAAACGGAAGTAAATAAATAAATCAGCAAACAAAAGATCTATCTCTAAACAGACTGCAAATTTTAAGATTAAATAGAAAAATTTTAACAGTAAAAGTCTAGTTAGAGGTGGTGCTAACTGCTAATTAATAAAAAATGAAGAGCCTCCCGAAACCTTGGAGATTATTATTAATTCCTAAGACAATTTATTGACCATATTATTTAATTCTTCACTTTTATAAACAATAACATATGGGATATTAAAGATTTCTTCTCAATATAGCTAAGTATAATACAGGTGTTGAACTTTAACTCACAGGCAAGGACAAAACAGAACAAATAAAAGCTTGATGTAATTAATAACAGCGGTCGAAGACTAAACACAGTAGTTGAAACCAAAGTAAGGGCAAAAATTAAAATAGAGAGATAGGAAAAGAGATGGACAAACGGATTTATAGTGGTTCGATCCAAGTATGATCTACATCCACTTTTTCAGGTCATCCACTAAGTGAGAAATACAACAGCATCAAGAGAAAATGAAGCAATACTCAAAGAAATCGGTGCCTCAAAAACCCCATCTCAAGACCAGAGAAATTACAGCTGCTCTTCTTCAATAACTTCACCACCCAGCTTCCTTCTTGAACAAGAAGTTAACAAACCCAGAGACGAAGWCAACCCCACGCTCTATTACAGAAAAACGCTCACCCAAATCACTCTCTACTTTTTCGGCAGCACCCACGGCAGAAGAAATAGGGCAGAAAGTGTAACTAATTTTCTGGGTAATGACCCTAGAAAAAAGAACCCGCTTCGAAACACCTGCCCCCAAAAAATTAGGAGCTGATCCGGAAACATTTTCTAAACTGAGTGGACTCCACCAAGACAATGAGGTGGCAATCAACTCGTCAAAACTCAATGCAGAAAAATTAGCTGTCAATAACAACGACAAGTATTTTCAATTTAAAGTTTTAGTTTGAATTCTACCTCATTTCTTGTATTAAAAAAATAGGTATAAATAAAAAATATATATCACTCAAAATATTTTTAATGTGTCTTTTAACATTTTGTACCGTTGCTTGGTTACGAGATCTCTTTCTCTATTTATTGAAAGGGAAAATTTTATGTTTCTCATTATCTTCTTCTTTTGAACTCCTTAGATCGTAAGATCTTGAATTTGATAACTCAATTAGTCAATAATCGAAAAAATAGTTGAGTTCAGGGTGCCCGTAGATCATCCGACCAGCCTAAGGGTGCCAACCTGATCTTGACTTGTTGGCATAAGAAGGGTCATGACTCTAGGCCGGTCAACCGAGCCATAGTCCTAGCTAACCAACCAACTGATTAGTTGCTCAACCGTGGACCTTGCTCCTTGGGCCATACTATCTTTAAGCCTTAGCTTTCAAGATATTTGGGCAGTTGTTGATGTCTTGTTCGGGAGTTCAATTCGTTGGGCTTGATCTATAGATCTATATCTCCCATCTTGACTCCTATAGTTCATGTTCATGACTCGTAGAGTTTGTAGAATTTTTTATAACAAGTGGGTTCGTTGAGTTTGTAGAGTTTAATGTTTGAAAAATTTAATCCAAATCCACATGCTAAGTGCAAATTTATCATCTAATAATTACTTAAAAAAGAAAAAAAAAAGACTAGAAAGAAACAAACATTAATCAAAACAGATTGGACCGACAATATTAAAATATAAATTAAAGTCGTATATTTTGGAGCATATAATATACAATAACAATGAGAAACTCGAGGGGTGTCCGTTCTGCAGCCAACTTGAATTAAAAATAATAAAACAACCATTACTTTATCATTAATATATAAAAATTTTATAAATAAATGAATC